CTCTCGGTCTGCCAGCGTGCGGGCAGGCGGGAGAAGCAGCAGGAGCGTTGTATTTTATGTTAAGATGATGTATTTTTTTGTGTTCAGAGGATGTATTTTTTGTATTCAGATAATACTTTTTTTTTTTAAAAAAAGGCATGTATTTTTTGTATTCAGGTGTATTTTACCCACTTAAGCATCCCACTGAATCACATCATGCCTCGCACAGTGCCGCTTCGTACCTGTGTGTATATAAATGCCACAGAAAATTTTCAAAAATTAAAAAAAAAAATTCAAGGTCAAGCGTTTTAAAATTCTTAAATATGCTTTTGTTGTCAGAATAGTTGTGTTTGGTTATGCATGCTGCTGCCAGTCGATGCAGCACAGACACAAAGGTGAGGTTTTCTGTGCACGTTGGTTTCCTTCTGTGTAGCATATGTGTGCATTTCCCTGTCCTGCAGTAACTGCCCAAGCATTTCATTTTCATGTTTTTAGTGTTGAAAATCAGAGATATTACAGTTTTTGGGGTATGTTCAATTTGCAAAGGATGTCAGTTTTTCTGTTTCGCACCAAGCCAGGTACCTGTCTTTCTCTCGTTTTTTTTTTTTTTAAATAAAAGTACAGTCAGATGGCAATGAAAGAGATTATTACCTTTCAAAGGAGTTTAGTGATATATTTGATTTTGCCCAAAATGGAATGCTTTTTGGAAGTCTTGTCCACATTGGGCTTCTGCACAATGGGTGTTGGTAGATCTTGATGTTTCAACACCCTGGGCTGTGACTCTGTGAGATTGCCTGACTGTCAACTGCTTCTGAGGCTCACCTGGGAAGCAGCGTGGATTGTGGCATGGATGTGTTTGATCCTCTCTTGTTTTTTATAGAGCTGGAGAAGGAACGAAACCGAGGCATTGGGAAACCACTGCTAGGAGGGCCCTTCTCGCTTGTCAACCATGAAGGACAGCCCAAGACCAACAAGGACTACATCGGCCAGTGGGTGCTGATCTACTTCGGCTTCACACACTGCCCTGACATCTGTCCTGACGAACTGGAGAAAATGATTGCAGTGGTAGATGAAATTGGTATGGGAATTCAGTTGGTGTAGTGGTCCTTTTTATGGGAGGTCCAGGTTTATTGTGGTAAAATATCGCAAATGGTAATAACTGATGATATTTTTTTAAAAAATGCTGTTAACTACTATTTAGTAGTTCAGTTAATTTCTAAGTGATACCTACATCAATCTGCCTGTCACTAGGATCTGATATTTAGAACATGACAGTGATGATCTTTCTGCAGCAGGGGACTTCTTGGTAATAGAACGTGATGGTGGCAGGTTATAGGGAACGGTGCCATTGCTTTGTATTTTTTGCCGAGAAGTAGTTGTGGTGTGTGTTAGTGGTTTTTTCCCCTCTATTTTTATTCATTCTGAGAACAAATCTCTGAGAGTCTCTTCTGAGAGTGACTGTACTGTGGAACGGAGGTTGAGGGAAGGCTGTGTGATAGAGGTGTTTTTCTCAGCCTTCGGGCCCTGAAGAATTACAGAACAGGGACAATAGTAACCAAGCAAGTGGGAGGGTGGACTGAAGTGAGGAAAATATAGTGAAGGCTATGGCTGGAACATGAGGGAAAGAACCTGAATTGTGTCTTTGCCTGTCCTCCCGCTCCACCGTCACAGGTGTGCTTTTGTTGTATTGACCATTGTGCTTTGATACGTGCATCACATCATGGCATTTTCTGCATCAGAGCCAATTTGTCCTCTCTCCTAAGCAGGGCAGGGTCTCCAGCTGAGAGGCTGCGAGTGTAGCTGCACCCAGCACAAGCACAGAGCATTGAATTTCACAGCGTTTGCTTCATTCACAAATGACATAAGTTAAGCCGCACTAAATGGCCTTTTTTTGTCACTTAGGATGGGCTTGTTTTGATGTTGTGGTAGCTCGGCTATGAACTTGTTTGAAGGGAGGTGAGAAATGATTTTTAGTTTTCTAAGAAAAATAATAATTGCCAATGTCACAGATAGAATTCCATCTTTGCCTAATCTGACCCCACTCTTCATCACCATTGATCCTGAGAGGGACAACGAAGAAGCCATTGCCAGATATGTTAAAGGTATTACTGTTTTCTTCCTTGATGTCTTATAGCATGTAATATAGAGCACTGAAAAGGAGGCTCTTGATGGGATTCTTTTCACTAAAATGTCTAAATGTCTTCTTTCTATCTAGAATTTTCTCCAAAGCTGATCGGATTGACTGGTACTAAGGCACAGATTGACCAAGTGGCCAAAGCTTACCGTGTCTATTACAGTGAAGGTCCCAAAGATGAAGATGATGATTACATAGTAAGTAGGTGTAGGGCCTTTGCCTCATGAAAGACATTGGATAAGAGCAGCATATAGATTTTAAAATCAGAAGGCAGCTGTTGCAGTCTATGCTGAGGTCCTACATGACAGAGCCCTGTCGCACCGATGTGTTAAGCTGTGTTTTAGAGGTCTCAGTCAGAATCAAGGTGCCCTCTTATAAGCTCAGAACTTCACTGAAACATGTTCTAAAAATGTACCGTCCCAGGCCTGCATGCAGAATAGCATATGAGCTAGCAAGCCTGGCAGGAATTTGAAATTTTTTCTGTCATGTAATGTTTTTGTCCGGCTGTTTTCCATTTTCAAGTTGGAGGAACTGGGAAGTTAAGGCAATAGGAAGAGGGAGAAATGAGCAGTAAAAGTGAGTAACAATTAAATCCCTGCCAAACTGACACCAAGGAGCGAGGTCTTCCTGGCAAGAGACTTGCATGGCGCAAAGTCTGCCTGCAGACAGTGTGGGGATCTTCCTCCTGTGTCAAATGACCTGGAAGAGAGAGCATGTTAATCTTAAATTAAGTGGGAATAAAATACTTAGAGTAATAGTGTGAAGGGGGAAACTGAGGTTTAAGTGAGGCTAGACTGGCTAGTCAAAATGTTACTCTCTGGAAGTGAATAAGACTGGTTATAGGGCTCGGAGTTGCTGCCAAGGCCTTCCTGACTTGCCACATCCTGAGCAGACTGGAAGAGTAAAGTAGGTACAAGTGATAGGACAAGTAAGGATACACGTTATCTTCTTTTTTTTTTCCTTTGTTATAAGAATTAAGGGCATCAGAGAGAACTAAAAACAGCTTCAAAAGCAAAGGCAATGGTTCTTGCTGCAATGGGCATGTGAGAAGTGGAATCCCTGGCTACGGATGCAAATGGTAGAAGTTTATGGGAGTCCACAGGGGGATTTGTTGTTAGTCTTTGGAAAAAACAGTCTGTTGAGGATTATGAAATCCACAGAAATCTTGCCTAGTTCAGGAAGCCTGTGAGCTAAAAATGTTTGGAAACTGGGAGGTAATAGAGGAGGATAGCATGGTTTTGATGCTGGTTTTATACTCTTCTTTAAAGCAATGATTGTTGGCCACTATTTGAGGTAGGATGCTGAGGCAGATTGGTTTCAGTCTAATCCAGTATTGTCTATTCTTAATCTGTTTTTTAAAACCACCTGACTGCGGCAAATAAATTATCCACATGGACAAAAAAATTGGAGGAACAAAGAAGTGGTGCATAGAGAGAAACAGCAAGAGCAGCACATGATCTCAGTAAAGAGAAGATGGAATCACAGTGGTGATGTGCACTACTCTGCATTACTAAAAGGCATGTGAAGTGGGGATATCAAGAACGTGGTTTTACTTCAAGTGGCAACTCAATAGCTACAGAAGTCTGTGGTTAAGATACTATATTTGAATGAGGAGAGAAACTTGCTGGAGAAATTCAACACCGATTTGAATCAGTCTAGCATCAATCTAAAATTAATCTAAAGATACTGCTTAAAATCAGATTTATAAAAGGCAGCTGGTGGAAATGCAAGAATAGGTTAGAGGAACACAATTGGCAAAGGATGCCTGCTCAGGAGAGGGAAAAAAAATCAGCAGAATCTGACACTAAATAAGTGAAGTGAAGTTGAGGAGAGATGATGGAAAGAGGCCAGAAAAGCTGAAGGACTGTTCCTCCTTATGAAGCAAACCACACCTGGATTCTGGCATGGTTGTGAAGGGAAAGTACAGGAATTTGGCCAAGGAAAATAACTATAGATGACAGCAGCTTCAAGGGAGACTGGAGGAAACCAAATGCGAGAATGTGACTACAGATGTAATGAAGTACGAGAAGGGATTCGGGATCGAGGGAGAATACCTCTGGGTGTGTGCTAGGGTTGTGAGTTTGAGAGAAGGGAAGGACAGCGAGGAAGAAAGGCCAGTGAACTGAGAGCAGGAAAGCAGCCTGGGAGCCCTAGGTATGGTGCCAAGGAGGAAGAGTATACCTGCATCTCTTCAGGCTCTTGGTTTTGAGAGGCAGTGAGCTCTGTGTGTTCAGGGCAGGAAGGCCAGAGGACACAGGTCTCTGACACCAAATGGAAAGAGAATAGCAGCAACAGCAGACCTGGGAGGGAGAGCTTGAGGCTGGTTTTATGCCTGCCTGAGATTTATCCAGGTAATTACTACTCTGTCATTTCTTCCAGTAAGGTGGTTTTTTTTTCCTCATTATGTCTTGCGTGGACCTGTCGTGCCAGTTCATGATTAAGGCTGATGTTTGTGCAGGAGTGGGTTTTGTTTCCTCTGCAGGCTGCTGGGAGGTGGGGAAAAGGAAGAGGTCCGCTACAGCCAATTAAACTTTGCTGCTTGTTTTGACTTGAAAAGAGCATTGAGATGAGCATTTAGAAATTATAATTCCTAAACATCTATCTGAATTTTTCAAGTATTACTTGAATATTACTAGTTCCTGTTTAATAATCTTAGTTTTATAATTCTCAGTACCAGAATATCCAATTTACTTGTTTTATTCTGTGGTTTACAAGGTTGCATTGAAACTCAAATGATGACCTTATGTGTGTATAGTGGGAACAGTGCAGGCCTCAGGCACAGCTTGAAAAACAGTGGGATTTTGCACACAAACTGCACCCCATTTTGACTGTATTTAATCTTCCATAGGCCAGGGAGTTAAGATGCTACCTGATTTTTTTTTTTTTTTCTAATTTCCAGTTGAAAGATCTAAATTGTGATTCAGACTCCTTAAAAAAATTGTCTCCTACAGCTTGATTTTGTGATCTTTATCTTGAAAATCCAAAACTGGAGTAAAATATTTGAATTAAACCTACTTCTGTAAAATTTTGAGAAACATTCTTTCAGTGACAGAAATGCCGTTAAGCTTAATGCGTCCTTTTAGCTTGTCCTACTGGAAATGTTTATATGATTTCTTAATTTCAAACACAGTTGTACTCTTAGTGCATGAGTATATTTCAGTTCTTTTTCTCCAGTGGCAGTGAGATGATGTCACTTGAGCAATCACAGATTCATGGCCTCCATTTTCACTATTTTATGTCTTTGCTTATAAAGATGTTATCACAGTTAGATGCAGACAGTAGTTGCAATGGCATTTTAAATACGTTTACAGTGGAGTTAATTTTTATATAAATCAAATTGGAATACCTTGAACGCTCAAGTAATTGTTACTTTGAATATTTTTTAAGGTTATTTCAATTTGGACAGTAGAGGGAGCTCCCTCCCAGCATACGTATTTCGCTCTGCACCAGCTCCTCTATCTGCAGCTTCTGTATCCCAGTGATGCTCTTGGTCCCATTGGTTGCACTGACAGTGAACTTCGTTTAATGAAATAATCTCTGATTATATTGGGTTTTACATCATATTAGCAGCAGGCGCTTGAATACCTTGTGGGGATCATGGAGCAACTAGAAGGAAACTAGGAAAAGTGAGGGGGAAAGACCATTAGCCCGCAGGTTTGCCTCAGCCTTGTCTGTGCTGCAGGAAGGGTGGTAGCAGCTTAGGGAAGACTTGTCTACTTAAAGTGTTCCTTCATGCTTTCTTGAGTATGCAGCTAATTTTCTCTGTTTTCTTGGTAAAACAAGAAGAGGTCACTGAAGGTGATGCTGAGATTGTCCTTATCTTGCTTTAGCTTCTTGGTGAGAAGTCGTGTCAGACAGCTGAACCAAAGGCTGAATGGGATGCTGTTGCTGCTGACTTTGAGAGATGTGCAGGATGTTCCAATATTTAAAGGGTGGCTACAAAGGAGATGGAGATTCCCTTTTTACAAGGAGTCACATGGAAAAGATGAGGGGTAATGGGTACAAGTTACTCCTGGGGAGATTCCAGTTGGACACAAGAAGAAAATGTTTCACAATGAGAACAATCAGCCATTGGAATAATCTCCCCCAGAAAGTGGTGGATTCCCTCATATTGGACACTTTTAAGATTCGGCTGGACAGGGTTGTCTCCGTTTAAGGCTGGGCCGGCACTTAAAGCGGGTGGCAGATGCTCTCTGTTAACCCAGTCCTTTCCCAGAAGGGGAAGGAGAGGAGAAAAGGGAGAGAGACTTACGGGTTAGAAACTTAAAACAAACTTTAATAAAACAGTAACAGTGAAAAGAGTATAAATAATATTAAAACTAATACTACTAATAATAGAAATAGAAACACACAAAACTGATATTGCTCTTCCCGATGAT